CCTACCCTGGGGGTCTTTAAGAAGAGGCTTGATGCCTACCTGGCTGGAGTCATTTGAGCCCAGTTTTTCTCCTGCCCAGGCGGGGGGTCGGACTTGAAGATCTACAAGGTCCCTTCCGACCTGACTTCTATGATTCTGATTCTATGAATGTGTATTACTGTTTAACTTTGTGAAAACATGACAATTCCTTTTATGATGAGAAAAGTCAATAACAAACCAGTTTTGCTCCGTGGCAGATCCAGGTGTCCGTGAAGTGGAGTGAGGTGGCAGCAGCAAGCTTGCTGAGCATGCATGTGTCATCTGTGACCAGAGCTCTCTGAGGCGAAAGGTGGGTGTACCCCTATCATCTCTTCCCCCTTCAGATCTGGCCCTAGTTTTGCCTAGTAGGTCTATGTTGTGCAGGTCTGTTGGGATTTACCTGCTACAGCTGTTGTAAGTGTATCCCTTAACTGACACTTCCAGGATTGGTTTTTTCCAGGAACCAAAGGCCTGTGGGTTTCCTTTCCCCAGACTGATGTTCTACACAGTACTTCTGAAATGTTTGGTTGTGGTTAACATCCAGACCCAGGAATCCAGATCCAGGAATTCCCAACCTCTTTCCCTCCCCTCCCAAACCCTGCTTCTTCTCCTAGCTCATCTGGCATCCAGATAACTTCTGCAAACTTCTCCATTTCTGTGGATGTATTTGTAGTTTTTCTCCTAAACCACAACTTGTCAGCAACAAAGATGGATGCCTCAGTCTTTACCACTACTGTATTATCACTTCCTGTTCCTATGCTGCTGCCAGGAAAGCACATCCTCCTCACCCACCAAAGCAGATGTTCAGTTTTTACAGGTCTCAAGTTCTCTCTTCAACAGTTGCTGTTCCATTTCCACCTGAAACTTGGGTGGAAGGGTTGTTATACAACCACCCGAGACTTACTTACTACTACTTCGTCTCTGAAAGAGAAGGTTGAACCCTCACAACATACTGTGGCCTTGTCCTGATTACTCAGCAGTGCCTATGACCCTTCTTAGAATGTCTGTGTCTTGTCTTGCAGCCAAAGCATGGCAAGACTTGAGGTTTGCTGAATGAATAAAACTATAGGGAGCAATGGCATCACTCTGTGGGCTGCACAGCATCTACACAGTGACAGCATAGGAATGACTGGCTCTCAGGGCTGCTCAGGAGAACCCAGGGGATCAGGAGTTGATCTTCTTACAGGTCTCTTCTTCTCTTGATAAATCATCTCCAGTATAACCACTGCTTAGAAAATGTTACCATTTCTTTCATCCAGCTGTATCTTCCCTGTCTGCTGAGGAAATGTGTAATTTTCCTCTGAAGTGGCTTGAAACCCTATTTTTGTCTCAGAATAAAATGTAACCATAGGGCAGGGCAAAGAAGAGCCAACTCATGGCAAGTTTGATGCTAAAGCTGCCTTGTTGTCCATAAGAAATGTTGAGGACAGACAATATCTGTGAAATCTATTAAATATTTTGTCAGTCTAAAAAGCTTGGGAACCTCTAATTTGGGTCCAGTATTCTTTTTACTGGAAGTATTAGAGTAACTCCTATAAAAAGCATTAAGTGAAATTGAGCTATACACAGATGCTGAGAGAGCTGGTGATCCAGAAGCCTGAGACTGGCAAAACATGAGAAAATGGAGAAAGGAAGTGACCAAAGGTCAGAAAGCCTGAAATAGAATCCAGGCCCCTGCTTTAGTCTGCAAGCCATAATGTCACTCTCAAAATGTGTATCCCCAGGGGCAGATCCACAGGGGAGTGCAGAGCTTCTGCTGCTGCCTCTGCTGTCTCTAGCTGACCCCAGCATCTTGTGTAGCTGCTTCCCACAGCCAGACCCCTCTGGCCAGTGGGGAAACCTGCTGCCACCACCTTTCACAGCTGAGCCTGGCACCCCACACAGCTGCTTGCTGTAGCTATAGCCTCTGCACTGGCAGGATTGAGCAGGGACCTGTATGCCACTGCCATTCCTGGCCAAGCCTGGTACCCCATGAAGCTGCTCCCTGCAGCTGGAGCCCCCAGGCAGGTGCACGAAGGGGGAACTTGCCACTCATCATTGCCACTGTCCCTGGCTGACCTGGTCACAGAGGGAGCTCTAGGGCTGCTCCTGCCCCACTGCAGCTGGCGACTATGGGCAGCAGCTGAGTAGGGTGTCAAGCTTGGCTGGGGACAGCAGCACAGCAGATGAGCCTCCCCTTCCTGCATCTGCCCCCTTCCCACACCTTCCCAGGTGTCCTCTGTGGGCCGGAGGAGTCCAGGTGCATCTCACCAACCTGTTTCCCCCCCACCCAAGGTAAAGCTGCAGTAACAGTCTCACCTGGCCACACTCCCTTTTTAAAATCCCAGATCTGCCTCCTCTCAGTGATGGTACATTTAGGTGCTTTTGAAAATCCTGTGTACCACTGAGACCTGGCTGGTTCCATGCTTTTACTTTTTAAAAGGTGGTTCAAGCGCTCTTTCCATGGGCAACACTTAGCGCAGCTTTAGAGAAGTGCCAGGTCTGCTAGCAACAAATTGTGAATATTGATGTCTTTGGGGGGGAGGGGGGAATGGTGGGGCTGGGACAGCTTATTTAAATGCACCTGTTTTGCACCTGTTTTACCAGCAACCACACCACTCCCACCCCAGAGCTCGGTATGCAGGGTGTGCAAGTACTTGTATTTGTGTGAAGCTCCCACAAATAGTGCTACTGAAGTCCAAAGCATTACTTGTGTAACAAGGTGCTACCCACTATGAGTAAGGGGATCAACGTCATGATCAAGATTTTTGCGCTACACCCGAAAGTCCATATGAGCCAACTAATATAAGTTTAGATTACGCCTTTCACCCCTCATTGCTGGACTGAGCTCTGCTGTGATGGGACAAGCAGGCCTAAATGCAGCTGACCATTCATTAATATGAATTTTCAGGCTGCAGATGGATCTTCAGAAACTCCCCTTCTCCTGCGCTCCCTTCCAACATAGGAGCCACAGCTAGGCAGGGGGAAAGGAGAGTGTTGGGAACATCCCTGCTGCTGGAACAGTCCCAACAGAAAGTTGGCAGCTGATGTGGTTATAGCAGAAGTAGAGCTGCTCCAGCATATAGTGGTGATGGTTGCAGTAGCTAGTAACCACAAAACTGGGGGCACAAAAGCAATTTGAAATCATTCTTTGCTCAACTTTTCTTATGTGACACTTGGGCTGAGGGGTCTTCTGTTGGTGTGGAGAATCTTATCTCCTAAGATTTGAAGTTTAGTAAGATTCTAAGCAAAAGCAGAATGTGCTGCATCTTATAAAAAAGCAGGGGTGGGAGGTGGGACTCTCTTATAGAGTAATGTCATCTTGACCACTAGCTAGGCATTTGAATACTTTCACTTTCCTTCTACGGTATTTCTGAATACACCCTGGAAAGAAAAGTATAAATTGATTATTTAAAGAAAGAAAGTAACATGATCTGCCTTACTTCTTTTGACTCAAAAGTGAAGGAGTTAAAAGAAAAGGAAGTAAATGTATTAGCAAAATTACATAATCGTAATCGTCACAGTGTCAGGGAGGTGGGGCTGATGCTAGAAAGAACAGCACACGGAGTTTCCAGAAAGGTCAGCTGTACTTTCAGTTCATCCCGTACAAGAGAGGGGGTGAGTAGGAGGCGAATAGCAACACAAGACATCAGGTAAGTTTGACTATTTTATTTCTTCACTTAAGGGGAGGAGGAGCCTTCCTCTGAAAAGTGGCTGGATCCTCTCTGAAGGGAAATTAAAGTGGTTACAGTTTCAGAACATGTCTGTTTAATATCTGTCTTGGACAGAGCACAAAGTATGAAGTTGCTTGGCAGGCTGCTGGCACTAGATGGGACAGCCAGGGAAGCTTCTTTCTTCCGATTATTTCCAAGCTCCTTAGAATGTCATAGTTTCACAGTGTCATAGTTTCTAGGGTCGGAAGGGACCTGAGCAGAT